TGAACTAAATATCAAAGTCTGCCTTGTTTTGCATGTTCTTGTGCTCACCTATCTCTGCTTTTTGTAGGCAATGATTGTAAGGAATGCAAAGGATACAGCTCATACAAAAGCAGAGCGGAATATACTGGAGGAAGTGAAACATCCCTTCATTGTAGACTTAATTTATGCCTTTCAGACCGGTGGAAAACTCTACCTCATCCTTGAGTATCTCAGCGGTCAGTAGATAAAACTCACTTACCTGCTCCTTGGTGCCTTACCTAACTGAGAATATGGGTCTCTTACTCTACTGATAAAAGGCATGGTGTTTTAGAAATGTAAAATAGGTTACTATTCAATATATGTAGAATAACATGAAATAAGCCTTCTAATTCAATAGGGTAAAGATGAACAAAACAGAAATGTTATTTTTCCTGACAGTAAAGGAGAGGAGGGGTTTTTATTCCTTCTCTTCCATCAGGTTTGTAATTCCTGTATGTTACACTTAGATCTGTGCAGTCATACAGAATACTTGAGGTTTTAGTCCTTCTAGGTTCTTTGTGATGCAAGTGTTATTTTTATTTCACAGATATGGAAACAGACACAGATTAGATGCAGTTTGCTCAGGCTATAACAAGAGAGAAAACAGGGATAGAAATGCTGTTTGTTTTTTCAGTATGCTCTTTTGATTTCTTTTAACTTTCCTTTAGCTTGCTAGAATTCTGAGAATAACAACAGGATAATAAGTTCTCTGTTTTTTTATGAAACAGCTTTTTTGAGAGCAGGACAGAATACCTGTTGCTTATTGTTCTAGAAAATAGACTTTTGACTGACTAAAAATGAGTCTAATAGAGTATAATCTCATGACAGGAGGAGAATTATTTATGCAGTTAGAGAGAGAAGGGATATTTATGGAAGACACGGCTTGGTAAGTGAAACTATTTTGGTAAATTAATAGTTGTGGGATTATTTTTTGAACGCTTAAACTGCATACTCTGACTTCAGAAACTATATATAACCACACACTGATTTCATAGTCCAGTGAAAAGAGCAGTTAACTGGGTTTTGGGAAGACATATGTTTTCTGTACTTACCAGTTTGTGCCAGTCTTACCACAGGAGAGGGCCTGTTGCTCTTTGGTGTGTGAGGCCATAATCCATAGGGTTGTGGTAAAGGGGATGTTTTGGGTGTTGGAGAAAAGACTGTTAAAGATTTATTGTAAATGCAAATCTTTTTTGTTCTTGATCCACCTGCAGTTTTACCAGCCAGTTACAGAATTTCCAAGTCACTGTAATGGCTGCATTCTAACAATCAGGTGTGTGACGTGACAAAGGCAGTTATGCCAATGAAGGAGAAAATGCCTTTTGAGTTGTGATATTCTACACAGAAAGAAGTTGAGATTGTCCCTTATTGGTCAGGCTTCACACCACTGAATACAGTTGTATCTGCTCACAGTGCACACTGGTGATGCCCTAGAAAAGCCTGGCTGTACCTCGGGCTGTAGCACTGTTCACATATATTGCTCTGGGTGCTCCTTAGCCTCCTGGTGGTTGATTCCTTCAGCTTTACCACCTAGACATGGTAATACACTTTGAAGCATGTTTTAACCACTACCTGGCAAATTCAGATTCCTCCAAATGTATTCATTATAAGATAGCTACTGAATGCTAATGGTGTCATTTTGCAGTTAATTTTGAAGTCTGTGCCTTTTGGCAAACCAACCTCAAAGGCATAATTGTTTCTCCAATTTATTCTCTCATACACTTCTAACAATACTTTCAAGAAACTGTTGCTGTGTACGTAATAGTTTTGGTGCTTAAGATGCTGTGTGTGATTGACTGTGTCTAATTTTGTGGCATATGTTTCCTTTCAGCTTTTACTTGGCAGAAATCTCAATGGCACTGGGGCACTTGCATCAAAAAGGAATTATCTACCGTGATCTGAAGCCTGAAAATATCATGCTTAATCATCAAGGTAAAAATGTAGTAACAGTTACGTTGCCAGTTACTTGAAAACAATTCTTCAAAGGTCACAACACTTTGCTCTTATGTGATTATGTGAATTTCCTTAGAACAGTGGCATGTTCTTTGTCACTCTTGATGTAACTCAAGAACTGCCAAAGCTAATTGCTGGCCCTTAGACACAGCTTCTTCAGCTTTCACAGGCCACAGCAAGCTCCCAGCTCCATGTGCACAGACAGAGGTGTTGGTTGAATGGCTGACTTGCTATTTCTGCAGCTCTGACATTTTTCTTGTGCTGGGTCATTGTGAAGTACATAAAGATCTGCGTCTTCAGTGTAGCCTCAGTGACATTTTAGTAATGGGGATGTCAGGAAAGGGAATTTAGGTGGGATGCCAAATCATCTGTAGCTGAAATGGCTGCTCTAGCTGTTGACACTTCACCTGACAGCAGTAGCAATTCCTGCATGCACTGTTGACTGTATGACACCGATCAGTCTGGCCATCTGCACCATCCTGTATTTTCACCTTATCTGAAACAACCTAGTCACTTAGACTAGATCTTTGTACTGAACTATTCAGAGCACTTTACAATTTGTTGAAGGCTCTCCTCTGAACTTTGAAGCAAGCAGTAAAATTTGATAGCTGCTTTCTCATCTGAATGATGTTCCACAATCCTTAAATACGTTTGGCCTGTACATGAATAAGTTTTGGTAGTTTGTCTTGTTTCTCTTCCAAGTGGCAAGACTTCCTCATGCAGGTGTAATGCAGAGGATTTATCTGTTAAGTGATTACCTCATTCTGTTCATAGCTCTATGGCTTTGTCAGACAATTGAAGATATCTGGGAGTAGTTTAGAGTTATTACATATTCATGTTAAAAATTCCTGTGTTTTTTTAATGTTACTTCTACAAATGGCAGAATCCTGGCAAGTTTTGATAGCTGCTTTCTCATCTGAATGATGTTCCACAATCCTTAAATACGTTTGGCCTGTACATGAATAAGTTTTGGTAGTTTGTCTTGTTTCTCTTCCAAGTGGCAAGACTTCCTCATGCAGGTGTAATGCAGAGGATTTATCTGTTCATAGCTGTATGGCTTTGTCAGACAGCTGAAGATATCTGGAAGTAGTTTAGAGTTATTACATATCCATGTTAAAAATTCCTGTTTTTTTTTTAATGTTACTTCTACAAATGTCAGAATTCTGGCAAGTCTTAAATTTTATATGTTTAATTTCAGGTCATGTAAAATTGACTGACTTTGGATTGTGTAAAGAATCTATTCACGATGGAACAGTCACACACACGTTCTGTGGGACAATTGAATACATGTGAGCTGCACAGTGAAACAGAAAAGTATAACTCTGGTCTGGGGGTAATGGCTAAATTTTGCCTTTTTTAACTGGTGGTTCATATGTTCAGTCACAAATTTTACTTGATAAATGTGGTTTTATTTGAAAAGTAATGGTCAGAATTAGTATTAAGCTTGTTAAAATTTGTTCATATTTTCAATTTTTCTGATTGTAGGGCCCCTGAAATTTTGATGAGGAGTGGTCATAATCGTGCTGTGGACTGGTGGAGTTTGGGGGCATTAATGTATGACATGCTGACTGGAGCAGTAGGTGCACAGTTATAATTGCATGTATTTCTCTTTGTAGCCTTTGTAGTTACCTATTCTAATTTGGATGCATGTATAAATACCTATATATTGGTGTGTATATATATACACACACAACCTGCAAGTAAGAAATATAACTAAGATACTGCTACACTTATGCTGACTACATTCATGAGCTGCTCTCATCCAAACAGTTTTTTGGAAGTCCCATTTGCAGCAATTTCACCTGCTTTATAAATTATTGAAGTGAGTTCTGTGTACACAAATGAGAGACCTGAACCAGTCCTATTTTTCCTCCCACTACAATGGTGCTTTCTAGCCTCCTTTCACTGGGGAGAACAGAAAGAAAACAATTGACAAGATTCTCAAGTGTAAACTCAACTTGCCTCCCTACCTCACACAAGAAGCCAGAGATCTGCTTAAAAAGGTAGAATTTTAATGAATGTCAGTACTACATGTGTATGTAGAAAATGGAAATATAATGATACAACTGTGGCTATTCAGTCTGTTCTTGTTTTACTACTTGTAAGTCAGTATTGGTTTTGTGTGGCACAAAGTGATTTTTCCTTGAAAATACAACAGTTTTCTAACAAACGCAGACTTCTGATCTGTGTTTATTCTGCATGGTACTCATTTAAATGATGACTGATGGCAGAACTACTCTTAAGCATAACTGATTTTTCTTTCTTGAATGTTATTTCTCCTTCAGCTGCTAAAAAGAAATGCTGCCTCACGTCTGGGAGCTGGTCCTGGAGATGCTGGAGAAGTTCAGGTAACCTTCACCAACTAGAGAATTCTTAAATTACCTCACTGAAAATAAAATGGCTTTGAGGGTACATTGGGGAAGGAGAGTATGTCTGTATTGAAGTGTAAGGAGCAAAAAGGAAGCCACGCATGCCAGCTGAGCAAAATGTCAATGCTTTAGAGCTTAACTAAAGCACTTAGGGTAGCT